AAATGGGATATCCAGCTTGGCCGTACCTGCATCAATTTTAAGTTTCCGTAAAGGGCTAATGCACTCTGCAGACAAGAGCGACCGCCGTCACTTCGACCTGTTCGTCCCTTCGTGGCTTTGGAACTTTGGCCTTTAACTAAAGGCGCTCAGGCCCCCTCACCTCGTTTTTCAGGATTTGGTTTCTTAGGCTGGTGTGTGGCACCGCTGTCCAGTCAGTATGCATAATCATAAGTGTGTGTCTCTCCTAGTGAGAGCCCAGGTGACCCCGAAGAGTGGCCCCTGTGGACCGTCGAACGGGCGTTTGTCGAACGTTCGTATCCCCTGCCCGAATACAGAGCAGCTCGCAGCGAGCGTAGGTGGCCTAGGTCGAGAGAACTCAGATTTTGTCGATTTCTTGAATTCCAAGCTGGCTCATGCCTTTACGTGACCGTGGCGGTCAAAGCTGCCAGCCATTTTGGCACGGCGTACGTGGCCGCAGCGGCCGAAGCTTGTTCAAGGCTCGTTGGAGTCTGTCGTGAGCTTAGGTGCACACACAGCGCGTACACTTTAACTAGGCAGGTCCTCCTAGGTCTTTGTAATGAGGTTTGGTTTCATCGGTTCCCGTCCCCTTCATTTGGTTTCCCTTTGCATCCTTTTTCTCCTTCACACACTTCTTTTTCTCTGCTTTTCTTTCATGTCTTTCCTTGCTTCATGTCCTGTCATCTCACCCCTTTCTTTCTTTTGCGTACACATCGGCCCTGGCCTTAGGCTGTACGCGCACATCTACTGTACATTTAGGTTTAAGGTCGCCCAGGTTCTGATAATGAGGTGTGGCTCATTTTTTGTCCCTGTGCATCTGGTTCCCTTTTCATTGCAACCACACACTTAGATTGTTGCTCGCAAGAGCTAGTATCAGTACGAAGTTCCCCTTGACTTGATGAACGGAATGAAGCGCAAACCGAAAGGTGGCTGAGTCGGCGAACTTGTAGATGTTTAACAAAGTTTCAACTCCTATGCATTAGCCGCTTTACTGAATACCTAGCAGACCCCCTATGCATTAGCCGCTTTACTGAATACCTAGCAGACCGCCTATGCATTAGCCGTTTTACTGAATACCTAGCAGACCGCCTATGCACTAGCCGCTTTAAACAGTTTTAAACAGTTTTGCAGGTACGTTTTCACACCTACCACTGCCGGTCTTCGTTGGCCACAGCAGCAGTGGCAGGTCTGTGGCCCCCTGCCTCTTTGTTCGCGCTGAGAAACTATATGTTTGTAGCGATACCAGGAGCCCTTAGTCGCAAAACCAGGGGCCCTAGTAGCGTTCTTTGTGACTGAAAACCTTAGGCACAGGTGTGGACACACACACACACGAAGCCGTACTCGGCGCACTGTCCCTTGCTTGCAGTTTTGTAGGGTGGCCAGGAGTCGCTAGTAGCGTCCTTATACCCCGTAGAAAGGTCAGAGGCCCCTAGGAGTACCGTCCTGGCTCCTGGCAGCGAGGCCAGAAGCCCCTAGTAGCGTTGTTTGTGGCGCAAAGCTTTGCACACATAGCGCCAATATTGGCGCTTATTGAAAAGTACTAGCCACCTAAAAAGCCTTAGAAAGACAGTGAAAGCAAACAAAATAAAAGCAGACTAAGAGGGCAAGAAAGAAAGATAGGTGTAGTCACGAGGCCCACTTAGTTAAATCAAAGTACAACGCGAGCGGGACGTTTTGTCTTAAACCGCTAGCAATAGGAAAAGAGAAACAAAAGGAAAGGCACCAACACACAGGTGTGTTGAGTGCGATTTCCTTCTGTTGCCCGAATAGCGGGTGGGATAGCAACGGAGGCCCAGGGGCAGGGAGGTAGGGGGGAGGGTGGGTTAGGGTGGCCCGTAGGCTTGCCATCATTGGCATTCAAGTAAAGCCGATTTGGGCCGGCGCAACCCATTGTCTGAAAGACACCTGGAACCTAAAGAAAGGCCTCAAGAAACGAAAATCAACAAAAAGAGAGAAAGAACCGAAGAGCATGAAAAGCACATGCAACAAAAGCAGTCGGTGGTTTGACATGCCCGCGTCCTAAGCCCCGCCTGTGATTACTTAGACGTGCATGAAAGTGCAAATCCGAATCGGTTGAAATCTCAGTAAGCCCTGCGGCACAGTTTCAGTAAGCCCTGCGGCACTGGATCAGTGGTATCAAGCAAAGACGGTCAATCCAAAATGTAAGTCCGGACTGGATTGTGAGTCTCAGTAAGCCCTGCGGCATGAGGATCTGGGTCTATGCGCATGACTTGATGAACGGACTGAAGCACAAACCGAAAGGTGGCTGAGTCGGCGAACTTGTAGATGTTTAACAAAGTTTTAACTCCTATGCACTGAATACCTAGCAGACCGCCTATGCATTAGCCGCTTTACTGAATACCTAGCAGACCGCCTATGCATTAGCCGTTTTACTGAATACCTAGCAGACCGCCTATGCACTAGCCGCTTTAAACAGTTTTAAACAGTTTTGCAGGTACGTTTTCACACCTACCACTGCCGGTCTTCGTTGGCCACAGCAGCAGTGGCAGGTCTGTGGCCCCCTGCCTCTTTTTTCGCGCTGAGAAACTATATGTTAGTAGCGATACCAGGAGCCCTTAGTAGCAAAACCAGGGGCCCTAGTAGCGTTCTTTGTGACTGAAAACCTTAGGCACAAGTGTGGACACACACACTTATGGATATGCGTACTGACGGATAGCGGTGCCACACGCCTGCCTAGGTTACCATTTCCTAAGGGTACAGGTAAGGAAACCCAAAAGGAAGTGGAGGTCCATCAAGTTCAGCGTGGCCATCAACTCTAAAGGAACCATCGAACGATCGATCGACAGAATGACGTCGTCCGCTCACAGCTGCAAGTCAAAACCAAAGCCCTATGCGTGACTGCCGAGAGCAAACCGATGCAAAGGCAGGACATCTTGTTCTAGTTACAAGCCGGGCCCAGGAGGAATTGATTCAGGTAAGACTGCAGGTACGTCCAGAAGGCGTCCCTTCCGGATATCAGCCACATTGCAGCCCTCTTCGTTGGGCAATCAACTGCAATGTGGGATTGCCCCCCTGCTCATATGAAAGAAAGACAATTCAAAAGAATCCCTGACTACAAGGGGCACACACACACACGCCTCCTCGTAAAGCTAAGGTGAGGGCCAAGCGCGCACAAGAGACAAAAGAATGAAGACATGACAGGAGGACGAGACGGGACAAAGGTGCGTGTGGTTGAAATGAAAGGGGAACCAAGTGCACAGGGACACACGATGAAGCCCACCTCATTGTAAAGACCTGGGCGACCTGAAACCTGTGTTAAAATGTATGTAGGAGTGCACGTACACACTAAGGCCAGGACCAATGTGCGCGCAAACGAAGAAAAGGATGAGATGACCAGACATGAAGACAGGAGGACATGAAAGAAAAGAGGAAACAAAAGTGTGTAAAGGGGAAGGGTTGAAAGGGGAACCAAATGGAGGGGGCGAGAACCGATGAAACCAAACCTCATTAGAAGCGCCTAGGGACCTGCCTCGTTTGAATGTAAGCGCTGTGTGTGCACCTGAGAGTGGGACAGGTTCCAATGAACCTCAAGAGTACTTCGGTCGCTCTGACCACGTTGAGGCGTTAAGCCAGCTTGGACCGCTGCGGTCACGTAAAGGCATGAGCCAACTTGGAATTCCAAATTCCAAAGATGAGACAAAAATCTAAGTTCTTGTGGCATGAGCCATCTGCTGTCCGCTCCGGACACGTACATCTCCGGGCAGGGGAGATAACGACAAACACCGGTTCGACGGGTCCACGGGAGGCAGTCTACGGGCTCATCCCGGACTGGCACAGGGCCAGACACACTTATGGATATGCGTACTGACGGATAGCGGTGCCACACGCCTGCCTAGGTTACCATTTCCTAAGGGTACAGGTAAGGAAACCCAAAAGGAAGTGGAGGTCCATCAAGTTCAGCGTGGCCATCAACTCTAAAGGAACCATCGAACGATCGATCGACGGAACGACGTCGTCCGCTCACAGCTGCAAGTCAAAACCAAAGCCCTATGCGTGACTGCCGAGAGCAAACCGATGCAAAGGCAGGACATCTTGTTCTAGTTACAAGCCGGGCCCAGGAGGAATTGATTCAGGTAACACTGCAAGTACGTCCAGAAGGCGTCCCTTCCGGATATCAGCCACATTGCAGTCCTCTTCGTTGGGCAATCAACTGCAATGTGGGATTGCCCCCTTGCTCATATGAAAGAAAAACAATTCAAAAGAATCCCTGTGACTACAAGGGGCACACACACACACCTTTGCCCCGTCTGTCCTCTCCTTCATGTCTTCATCCTCTTGTCCATGCTGCGCACACAATGCACATTTGATTCGTCACTTAGTTCTTGCCTCCCCTCGGGGAGGCGTGTGTGTGTGTGTGTGCCCCTTAAAAATCACAGGGATCCGTTTGGCTTGTGTACCTTCATTTTCTTTCAGCAGGGGGACACAGCATTTCACTGGGACTGTGTCCAACGAAGCTACCAGTGAAATGGGATATCCAGCTTGGCCAGCTGGACGTACCTGCAACAATTTTTAAGTGTCCGTAAAGGGCTAATGCACTCTGCAGACAAAAGCGACCGCCGTCACTTCGACCTGTTCGTCACTTCGTGGCTTTGGAACTTTGGCCTTTAACTAAAGGCGCTCAGGCCCCCTCACCTGGTTTTTTTTCAGGATTTGGTTTCTTAGGCTGGCGTGTGGCATCGCTGTCCAGTGTGTTGTAGTCTTGGGATGTCCCGGTATGTTGTAGATGGACTAGTAACGAAACTTCACTTTGTTAAGCTTTCTGAAAGGCAATGTCTGCCTCCCAGTGCAGCAAAGTTCTCAAGCCTGTATGCTTGAATGCCTACAATTCTTGGCTAAAACAGCCGACAAACATTCTAAATATACTCACAACATAGTGAAGGTTAGTTCTCAAAACATCACGCTTCTCACACAGCATTAAAAAACAACCCGTCTTCACACTCGCAAACGCATGCTCTGCGCTCCTTCTGGGCCCTCTTGGCACCTGCAACAAAAGGTTAAAAAAGAGGGAGCCCCAGAGATAGTGAGAGCGTGGCAAAGGAGTTGCTTTCTGTTAGGTTGGAGGCCATCGCTAGTAGGAGCAAGGACGCTACTAGGGGTTCATGGCCATACTACTAGGAGCAAGAAGCTACTAGGAACAAAGGGCATCGCTACTAGGAGCAACGATGCTATATATTAGGTTGGAGGCCATCGCTAGACCAGTAGCGTCCTTGCTCCTAGTAGCGACGGGATGTGGGCACTGAAGAAGTCCAACTCGACAAGTCGGAAAACAGCCGACGCTTGGCGCCTGCGGCTGGTAGGGCACCGACGGCTGATACGGCTGGTAGGGCGCCGACGGCTGGTAGGGCACATCCTGCTCATAGACTATGCCTTAGCACGGACAGGCAGAAGCATGTCATGGAGCAAGCTAGATTCTATCTGGCCCACACTGTCCATTTGTTACAAGGCCAAACTTGTTCTGCTTTCATATGTCGAGACAAATTACGAAGGATAACAGCTCGAGAGTACACTTCCCGCTCAATGTAGGCAGCAGAATCTGTAGAGAGTGCACCGAAAACGTTTGACATACCTTTCATGAACAAATCTATGATGACTACAAAGACCTTTCCAATAAATACAGCCCTTGGCCCTTTCTTTCACCACAAGCGCCCAGCCTTCCAAAGGATCTTGGGAAGGAGCTGGCAGAACAAATTAGACTTTCAAACAGCAAGACTGACTCCATCAAGTACATGCAATGTTTCCTGTCACTCAAAAAGATGTGTGCCCTCAAAAAATGTGGTAAAACTTTACAGATGCTTGAAACATCGCAAGAGTTCAAAAAAGATCAGGGTTTTGGAGGACAATAAGTAATGTACTCTGTCTTGCAGCGAACCAGGCCTCCAACTTGCTCAAATCCCTTCTCCAAGTACAGTCTTGCCAAGTGATCTCCACCAACCGCACAGAACCGAGTGAACCCCAAGCTTACTCAAAAACAATTGCCATGCCCACCTGCCTGGCGGATTCCACTCTCTCCGTAGAACCGTTGCTCCAGTACGCAGTTCCTGCCACGCAGCGAAAGTTCTCTTTGCCTTCGACGGGTAACAAGTGTTGTTCGGAAAGCGAGGCCCAGTCTTTCTGGGAGAGTCCCACCATGATTCAACACGATTCAACACCATTGAGAACCCAGCATGAGTCTCTGAACGCGTGCACGATCAGTTTCCACCTCCAGAAACCTTTTATCCTTTTTGATTCAAAAGGTGTGAGGGCTGACCGTCCCACAACTGACAGAAATTGGGCTTGTGAGTTCGATCCACTGCTGATCCGATGGAGTATCATGAACATAGACAGGGAACAGAATGTTTCGTCTGCATTGTAAGCATGAAGCAAATTGAAGCAAAGGACCCAAATGGGTTCTCCATCTTATTCTTTCCTGCATTGGCTTTGTAGATTTCCTCCTTTTAGAGAATGTTGAGCAAACCAAAATACTATGGCCGTACTATGGCCTATAGCCTAGGTAAGGCTAAAGGATTGTCAAGCATGAATTTAAGGGCCGCAAATGGAATTCAATTCCGTGTTCACTTATACTGGGCAACATTGTCTAAATACAGCAACTGTTTGATGTGTAGGAAGGTCCTGTTTACCTGTATCAAGACTTTCCAGCCGATTTCCTAAGGTGGCAACACCAAACTATAGTTGCCAAACATCTTGGACACTGTGACGAAAGAACCTTTTCGCGCCCCAGCACATCACCTGCAGAAGCTCTTGAGCTTCGCGCAAAGGGTCATGCCTGGCAGCCGAAATAGATTCTTGAGAGATACTCTTGAGGTCAGGAATCTGTTGCACAGGACAAAAAAAGGTTGTTTCCGCAAGACGCGATGTTTAACTTTACCGACCAAAATCCATGTGGAACCGTTCGGAACCTTTCTGGAATCGCCCCTTCTCCAAGCTGCCATCTTCGTAAAGGAACCCAGAGGCCGACAAAAATGTTCCGTGCGACCGAAGAATTTCAATTTTGTGCTATTAGGAGCAAGAAGCTACTAGGGGCTCCTCGCATCGCTACTAGGAACAAGAAGCTACTAGGGGTTCCTGGCCGTACTACTAGGAGCAACAAGCTACTAGGGCCTCTTGGCATCGCTACTAGGAACAAGAAACTACTAGGGGCTCCTGGCCGTACTATATACTAGGAGCAACAAGCTACTAGGGGTTCCTGGCATCGCTACTAGGAACAAGAAGCTACTAGGGGTTCCTGGCCGTACTACTAGGAGCAACAAGCTACTAGGGCCTCTTAGCATCGCTACTAGGAACAAGAAACTACTAGGGGCTCCTGGCCGTACTACTAGGAGCAAGAAGCTACTAGGGGCTCTTGGCATCGCTACTAGGAACAAGAAGCTACTAGGGGCTCCTGGCCGTACTACTAGGAGCAAGAAGCTACTAGGGGTTCCTGAGCCTGTGATACCAGTTGCCCGAAGACTGTTCCCCGCCACCAAGTCCCATGGCCTCTCAAAGAAAAGCCTGGGGTTCTCGATATGCTCTGAATGGATCATGAGCGCACAGGTTGCAATAGGTCTGCTATTGAAAAAATATTTGGAGCACGCGCTTCGAACAGCGTCCCTTTCAAAGCAATGGTTTTCAACAAAACCCGCTAAACTGAAGTGCACAAGCGCTGGACGCATGTTGGTGGCATGTTCGCAACTTGTTCTTGGATGTGTTAATTTTTTTATTTCACGTGTGTAATCTGGAAGACATTGGCCCCCCACAAACTCTAAATTGAGCCGGCCCGGCCGAGGTTGTACTGTTGGGCCCTTTGGTCTTCAGTAGTTCTTTTCTACATAGATTGCTGTGTATTCAACCTTTGTTGCGCACCAGTCGGTTTGTTTGGTCTGTCACAACAGCCCGACCCCGACCCCTTTGAATGAGACAATACAAACCCCCACAAAATCTAACTTGCACAAAGGGAGCCACTGCCTCCCTCCAATTTCAATGTTGGGTTGGAACACTCAGCCAGCACCGACATGTCTTGTACACATCAACCATGAACAAGGCCTACTTCAAACAGGTAGCAGCCTCAAATCTACACCTTTTTGTTTCTTGAGCCAAAGTGCAAAGTAGGGAAAGTGTATGTACATGTCTAGTGAAAAATACCCCCCGCGGCGTGGCCCGTTCACGGGCGGCACCGAAGAGGCAGAAGATCAGCCCACGTAGACCTCAGGAAGGGCTGACAAACTATGTACAATACAACTAACCTACGAATGCATTGGATATGGAGAACGGTACGAGTCAGGTTCAACTCTTTTCACGCTCATAGCGGATGGCTGCAAAAGCAAAATGCACGGCTTAGGTTTCCACTGAGCACACCGGGAGCATTACCACTCCAAACATGGTGCCAAGATGCCACATGCCGTAAATTACTATTGACAAAGCAAGTGCACTAGGAGTGCCAGCCAAAATGGACACGGCAAACCTTCCGGTTTGCGATGCTGTTGAAACAATTAGCCATAGGATGAAGACGGCCAACGTTCCCGTTAGCGTCACAAACACAAACTCCAAGAATCCACATACCAACATAGGCAAGAAAGTAATCCGGCTAACGTTCCCGTTAGCATGGAATTCGCACACTGATGCCATTGCAGCTGAACTACTGCCAGAACCCCCTTGGACCAAAGTAACGTTCGTAACCACATGCAAGACATTCAGGGAAAGCTTCGGAGAAGCTTCACAGATATTCTCAAAAGGTCACGTAGAGACCTCAAACATGTTGCTGTCCAACGGAACGCTTCGAAACAATTCACTCTGTTCACGAAAGTTTTAAAAAAGGTTCTCAAAGGTTCACAAAAGTCTGAAAACAGCTGGGAACGACCAAAACCACATTCCAAACGTCTTTTAATCTTCCACGACACCATCGCAAGCAGTCTCCAAACAAATGCAGTTAAAAGGGAACTTTCAATGTCTTTGGAGGGTCACACGCGGTCTTCAAACAAGTGGCACAGTCTTCGCTCCTTCAGTACCGTTGAAGCAGCGTCCAGCCAATGCTGAAACCGAAGCAGAAGCCACTGCCCAGCACTCGGTTGCCCTCCATCGAAGCACGAGAAGTCTGCCGCTTGCCATCAGCCCTGCCAACAAGGGGTCTGCATTCTGAGGTCAAGGTTGTGAAAAATGACCAGATCCAATCCTGATTCTCGGAAAATTTGAACGTTGATGCTCAAGATGAACCGGGGCCCGGCGGCAGCCTGGCGTAGCTTGCAACAAACACCAAGGACATGAGCACAAACCTCAACAACATCTTTTCAAACACTTCACAACACGCGTCAAACAACAACGTCAGTAAAATGAAACAAGGTTTCCTTCCCACACTGAACGACCAGCTTCTGAACAGTGGCCAATCAACACATGACAGGCTCGAGCCCGAACGGCACCGAAGCGGTGCCGAGGCGGACAACCATAAGCATTGCAGCAAACAAACATCGCCAAGCTGCAAGGCCGCAATCTGGTGGACCCAATGGACCACTGCCTTGCGACGCGCTATATGGGGCTTTTGCGGCAACAATCAAGCTCTGGGTTGGGTTGGACAATCAATTGCAGTGCGCAGTGCTGTCTTGGCGCGTGTGCAATCTGCCTCGGTACCCGGTACCGCTCGGGCTTCTAATGCGGTACCGACAACCCCGTTTGCTTTTGAGGAACTTCCAAGAAAACACAAAGCCCAGCGAAACCCAACCTGAACATTGCAATTCCGGCGCTTCTTCAAACGGGGCTTGCGCCAAGGCATTCTTCGCGCTCCACCATTCTGATTGAGAGTGCACGTTGTGTGGCTGTCATCACTTGGAATGACTGCTCCATCATGCGGAAACGCTTCCCCAAAGCAAGTCAGCCGTGGGATCACAACTTCCTTCTAAATCTGCGGCAGTCAATGCCGCTTGACCTCTTCGGCATCACCGCCTGCTGCTCTTTTGGGCAAAGAAGATGTGGCGCATTTTGGCTTCGCGCACCCGCTTTGGCTTGCCGCTCAGAGCGCCGTTCTGTGTGGAGCTTTGTCGCGCACCACCCGCGGCCGCGCTCGTGTTCTTTTGGAGAGATGGCTCTGACGGTCCATTTCACACATGTGCGCCAAAAGTGCGTTTGTGCAGGAATCGCGGGACAGAAAGCGCGGAGCCATGACCTCATTCCGCTGGAGAGATTGAAGTGCAGCATGTGTGATTCTAGCCCTTCGAAGGGCTTGAAAGGGCAGATCGGTCTGCGCCAGGGCGCTGGACCCACAAGCCAAGCAAAGAAGACAAAGATTAAAACTGAAGATCGAGCTGTGGAGCTCCAATCAACAGCATTCTCAAATTCAAGTGACTTGAAATCTTTAAAACCTTGCAAAGGCACTGTGATAAAAAACGCAAAACAAAAAATGACTTTTTGTTTTGGGACAAAGCAGTCCAAGGGCTTCAAGACTTGTGTCTCCTGCGCACATGTTGTTGCGAGAGACGAACGGATTGCAGCGCAGTCCGTTTTTCCAAGCGTTGGAAATGCTTCAAAATGGAGTCCAGCCAAGGGCCTGCCAATGCTCTTCTCTCAGCTTTTGCCATGAGGCACTGAGTCAAAAGCTGTTCTGCGCAAAGGGAATCCTGAAGAGCTGCAATGCATCCGCAATCGGCTCCCGCTCCGGCAATCATCAGATCCATCTTCTCTTGCCTCTCGGCCATGGAGTTCAGCTGGGCGGTGATCGACGGCAAGCCTCGGAGATGACTGCCAGCTGTTCGGCAAGAGAGGCAGTGGTGATTCTCTTTGCTGGAGCTGATCCTTTTGCGCTGATCTTGCCTTTGGCTTTGGGGTCCGCCGCCTCACTTCCACTCTTCCACAATTCTGAGGGCCCCTGACCTCCTCCGAGGCGAATAGAACTTGACACGATCTCCACCTTCTTCGATCCAGCTGTGAGCATTAGCTAGGATGGAGTTCGCCTCCGGGAGCTGCAGCGTCCAGAAGTTTGCCAACAGGCGCAAGGTAGAGGTGGCAGCCTTGACAGCGCTAACCAGAAGGGCGACGGTGTCGCTTAATATAGGTACGCCGAAAGGCGCAAGTCCGGGGCCGAAGTCGAAGCCCTAGGAGAAGGAGCAGGGGGTGGAGTGAAGTGCCTCAGGCCAGAGGGATAGAGGAAGAAAATAAGCCCATGTTCAACCCCAACAGCAAGTGAGGCAAAGTGGATGTTTCAGATTCGGCCGCCCTGCCCCGCCCTTGAAAGCAGAAAACTCTATTTTACCAAACTCGGAGGCATGTCAATGTCAAGTGCCACTGCGTACCTTTCGCACAAGCATATTCGGCAAATTTAAGGGCAAAGCCATTGGGGTGCCCAGATTGGCTGGTACTCGCAAGGACTTCTGCGAACACCAAACCCTTCTACCAACTTCTGCGAAGGCAAACAGGGTTTGCGCGAACTTTTGGAGAATTGTGAAAGCTAATGGGGATACTCTGTGGGCTGGAGAATGCATGGACTGACTTAAGAGGACGGAGACACTTGACTCGGAACCTGTCTTGGAACCTCGGAACCTTCGAAACCTTCACCCAGAACAATTCACTTGGAACCTTGACTTATAGAACTTTTTAGACACTTGACACGGAACCTCGACCTCGGAACCTTCGGAGCCTTCACTCGGAACCTTTACTTGGAACCTTGGAACCCTCACTGGGAACCTTCGGAACCTTCACTTGGACCCTTAAACTTGGAACTTTTTGGACACGTGACACGGAACATTTGCTTGGAACCGCAGAACCTTCGGAAACTTTACTTGGAACCTCGGAACCCTCACTTGGAACCTTCGGAACCTTCACTTGGAACCTCGGAACCCTCACTTGGACCTTCGGAACCCTCACTTGGACCTTCGGAACCTTCACTTGGACCCTTAAACTTGGAACTTTTTGAACACTTGACACGGAACAAATTTGCTTGGAACCTCAGAACCTTCGGAAACTTTACTAGGAACCTCGGAACAGTCACTTGGAACCTTCGGAACCTTCACTCGGAACCTTTACTTGGAACCTTTACTTGGAACTCTTTGGACACTTGACACGGAAACTTCGCTTGGAACCTTCGGAACCTTCAGAGCCTTCACTTGGAACCTTTACTTGGAACTTTTTAGACACTTGACACGGAACCTTAACCTCGAACTGTGCCCAAATTCATGGAACCTGGACATGATGCTCTGTGTCTGCATGCCGGATGCCCAAAAAAACCCACAACTAGACGACGAGTGGCCCGAAAGCATTTTTCATCACGTAGGAAGTCAGAGTGTGAGTTATCTGTTAAGTGTGCAGTGTGAAGTGTTTAAGTCGCGTGAGTTGAGGTTGTGTGAGGGTCTCTGTGTGTGTATCTATGTCCGTGCGTATATGAGTCTATGTCTGTGCGTTCGTGTAAGTTGAGGCAGTGCGTGGGTGTCTGTGTGTTCTTTTTCCACGAGTACGGACGCCGTGTGGGCGGAGTGCCCAGGTCATCAATGAAGGGAAAGGAAACACAACATGATGAGGGGGAAAAGAACACAAGCAACCCCAAAAGCCAAACAAAAACAAACCAAACAAGAACCCCAAACATAACCAAAAGGCCAGAGGCCGAATCCCCC